CTCAATCACTGATGAGAGGCAGCTTATTAGTGTTCAGTAAATCAAATATATCTTCAGAAATTTGAAGATATAAAAGTCAATCTGTGTATCTGTGAGTGGTGTTCTTTATATCAAGAAGTCAAGTGCCTCAGCAGTTATGTGAAATATAGCAGATGATTCACACATATTTACTTCAAAAGGATTGAATTTGTGATTGACACTGTACTTTGCTAGATGACTGCTGTTATCTCATGAAAGAGTTGAGAATGATGATGAAATAAATCTTGTGAGATTCTTTATATTGCTCATGTTATTTATATAGAGAATGGCACTTAATATGATGTGATATTCTGCTTTCAGATCAAAGCAGATGCAAGCTATAACTGTCTCTCTATTTCATAATATATAAACTTCATCAAACACAGCAGTTTCAAATAATTCCAATAGATTATATGAGCAATTATGTTCTAATCTACTTCAATCTTCAGCAATCTATAATTGAATGATATTTGAGTCATTACATGCAGACAAACTCTGATAGAAAGTAAGAATAATTTATCACAATGACTGTTGCTGTCAAAAGACTTCATTGTATCTTATTAATCATCTCTGCACAAGTCTGCAGTCAGATCTGTCATCTTGCATATTATTATAATAAACTTATACATTGAGAATGTTGAATATAATGCTGATTTCAGTATATCACTGATCAAGAAGAGCTGATGAAATAATCAAAATAATTGATTTTGAACATACTAATTCTTGTATTTCATTGTTCAGCTGTAAATGTATTGATTAACATTGCTTTTCATACAATAGATTGTGAGAGTCTTCAGAGACTAGATTAACTTACACTGAGTATATATACAATAGTCATTTATGTCTTATCAAGGCTCATCAGATCTGCAATTATACATTCATACAGTAATTTGTTTATTCAAAAATCACATATTATATTTACAGTCACTGACTGTCAAAATTTGAATTCCACATTGTGTTATATATCAGATATTCTTAACACATCTGAGTTTATTATTTTCAGTATTTCATATGCTTCTTCATAATTTGAGGGTTGTATATTGAGATTGTTTAGAAATATTTGTGTCTTGTAGAATTTATCTACTGACTTCTGTGTTGAATGAATAATCTCATCTAATCAGTTATTTAATATTTGTTGATCTCAGTCAATGAACTCAGCCTGCAGATAATTTATATTTGTAAATATAAAGAAATTGCTGTTGTCTTTCTCTGATTCTATCTCTGTCATATCTGTTGTCTTCTGTAAGGCATGAATAACCTTATAGACATTGATTCATCATCAATAAAATTCTCTGAGATCAACAATATCAGACAAGCATATAAGTTCTAACTGCTAGACTGATATCAAAAGTTCATTCTTTCACTTCTCACTTGTGATATCAATATCTTCTTATATAGTAGTGGGAGTTTCTTGCATCAGATCTTCAGCATTTGAAATTATACTTGATTCATTTATTGCAATGAATGAGTGAGTGCTGATTGATAGAGTATTTGAATTGCTGAGGAAGACTTCCACAGCATCATCATCTGTATCTGCAGACTTGAAATATAAAGAAAGATTTGAATAAAATTTTAATTCTGAGAGGCCTTTTCTTACACATTCTGTCAAACAACTTGACATATGTTTCTTGATCAATTATTTGAGAAGAATAAACATTTATCTATAATATTCTTGTTCTTGAATATTTTTTTGATAATACACACTGTCTTATGCTTGGCAGTTTCAGAATGTTATTTTAATAATGAAACAATAATAAAAGTTGGTTATCTTATATATTTCAAAACTCAGTTCCTCTGTAGAGAAACATGCTCATTCATCACACTCTTCTTCAAGTAAATAGATCTCAATATTTGTAAAAATTGAATCTTTCACACATGCTTTCAATTCTTTGACATGTTCTAAACTTAGATGATGAATGTAGAATTCAAAATAGTATGAATGAATCAAGAAACTCTGAAGTCAAGTTATAAGTTCAGATTCATTGACAATTCAGAATTTTTTTAGTATATCTGTTTTTATAGCAGTCTTTACTACATTGATTGATTCTGCTGTTGATTGTGATGAAACTGTAATGATACATTAACACAGAGAAATAATTGAAGAAGACTTCAACATATTTTGTTCTTCAAACTGATCAACATCCATGTTAAATTCAGAAGATGTATGAAAAGAGATATATAAATGATGTGAGAGAATAGTTGGAGGAGCCTTCATGATGTCAGTCATAATGAATAAACTGACTATATTATATATTAGCTATCAGCAACACATGTGAAATAGATTTAAATGCTATTTCAATCAACATTCAGTTTCAATGTAAGATCTATATCATTTAAACTTACAATATTGCACTTATTTATTAGAGATGAGGGCAGAGGCAGAGATAGAGATACTGTATTTGCTGTCAACAGATTCATTAGCAGATAATTCAAAGATATTATGCAGAATATAAGATATAGATGAGTTAAACAAGCTCACAACCCAGTTAACTTTTGAATCACAGTTCAAGAACATCAAATACTTGTATTTTCCACATATTTTTCATCATTTAAATTATACTAATCAGCTGTAGAATGCCTTGCAAAGAAAAATGTCAACTTATTTGATGATATAATGATGAGATTGATGTGCTGCACAAAAAGAGGTAGATAATGCAATTTCTCTAAGACAAGAAAAATAAAAGATAAGAAGAAGAGTAGTTTTATAGAAGTTGAGTGAATGAGTCAGTATAGTGAGTGACTAAGCAGATAGAACACAATGAATGAAATCAGAGACTGTCTCAAGATATCTGTGCAACTCAATCAATGAAATAGATAGATATCAAATAGAATAGATATAGAATAGATATATACTATTCAAGATTAACAAGTTGTTCACAAAGAGTTCTATTCAGATCAGTATTATATTCTAAACATATTCAAGACAGTGTTATATTCTAAACACATCTAAGTTTCAATGAAATCATCTCAGGAATCAACTGACAGAAAACATAATATAATGACTATTATTATATATCTTCAAAGAAGGAAACAATCAGACTTATAAGAAAAAATGTATACTTGTAAAATATATATTGATTATGTTAATCAATCAAGCTATAATTCAGTATGCAGAACTTCAAACATGATGATCTCATTAACAGATATATCAGAGAAATCATGAAAATTTTAAAAAGAGTATTTCAAGTGTATAATATACTTACTGATCAGCTTTCAAATTTGAATAGATATTTTGTAATAATTAAGAGAAGTTATTCTGAAATTGAAGACTGCTGAGGACTTCTGAAGACTCTCACAGCAATATATATACTATTTATATACTGCTCAATGTTTTGCTGCTGACTTCTGTATCTTACATTTTCATAACAGTTTAATATAACTGTTATCATTGGCATTTGAAAGTATATATAATCAAACTTCTGATCAAACATTAGGCTATTGAGAGATCTGATATAGAAACAGATAATATAAGCAAAATCAGATACAAAATCTGTGTTATATATATTCAAAACTGCTCTGTTCAAAGTCATACTCTGACTTTTGTAAACTGTAATAATATATACAAATGTAACAGAAAATTGCTCTCAAGTACAATGATTTTTATTCAGATTGAATTTTATTCATGAACAGAATATGAGAATAATAGACTGATTATCAATAAGATCAACAATGACTTCTGAGTCAATATACTCATCAAATTTGATCAGTATTGCATGCAGAAGTGTGAGTATGAGATTGCAGAAATCAACTCAAATAATATCATATATAGTATTAAATGACTTATTAACAAGATCTTTGTCAGTTCATAAATTATATGTAAGCATCACTCAACAGTCAATACTTAAATAAATAATATTGAATAGATTCTGTATCTCATTTGCTGTAACTGTCTTTGCTGATTTATATTTCAGATGATTGACAGATATTATTTTAACTGATCAATTGCATACTCTGAGTCTTGATATATTATATAAATGGACATTCTCATTTTTTGAATATATGCAAATGATATTCTCAAACAGAATGATCTCATTGAAATGAAGATTGTGCTTTATTCTGAAGAGAAACAATTATCAATTATCTTATATTAGAGTGTTAGTTTACAGATTGCTCAGCATCTGTCTAAATTAAGTTGATTGATCATCACCTCTACACTGATATATAATCTGCTGAAGAATGAGAGTGGTGGATAAGAAATAGTATATATCAACAGCATCATCAATCTGTGGATGAGGAGAAATCAAGTATAGAGAGAAGTTTTCAACAGAGAAAAGCTGATAGAAATCATCAATCAACAGAATACTTCATTCATCAAAGAATATATTATCACACTGTGAATATAGCTCTTTAAGTCAGTAATCAATCTGACTAATCATTGTGAAATCAAGCATTGATTTTTTATCAATGATGATGTATTTCATATGACACAGTGTTTTCTGAAAGAATGACAGTGTTTCAGATGACAGTGGCTGATATATAGTTCAAACAGATAGATATAATAAACTGTAAAGTATGATACTTTGAATATTGAAAGCTGTTATATCTGTTGAAGTAGATCAGATTATTGAAGATGCTCTTCTCTGCTGATATATTATATAATCAAAATGTTTACTAATAATATCAATAATATATAACTTATCAGTTTCTTCTTGATCATCAATATTGAGAAGTAGAGACAGTCAAGATATGTCAGTGAGTTCTTGTCTGAAATAATCAATGATCAAATCAAACAACTGATACTGCTTATTAATAAGAGTGTCTGAGCTTATTATAGTTGATACTGAAGATGATGAATAATCATATATCTTGACAGTCTTTCATCAATCATTCAATGATAGATCTTCAATAGAGTGGCAATGACTGTGTCAGTCATAATAAATATTTATATTATATATATTAAAATCACTGAATTCATCTTCAATATTTTTGTGATCTGAAAGATCAGCTGTCAATATTTTTCAATTATTCTGAACTGTATTCTTCTATTGCTTATCTGACTCAAACTCATTTACAATGACTTCATTCTCCACAAAATTAAAAATGTAAACAATCGGACGGTGAGTACGCGGCCGCATGTGGCCCTCGCCTTCTGGGCATCCCCGAACGGGCCTGGCCTGCCGTCGCGGACGCCGCCCATTGGCCCACTGGGCCCTGCCGTCACCCCTTCGGGTTTGGCGCGCCCTGACCTCGCCGCCCTGAGTTACATCATCGACGTGTGCCGGAATATCTATATAAGGTCGCTCCTCTTCCCTTTTCGCCCACGCACCTTCCATCTTCCCAATTTTCCTCCTCCGTCTCACCCTTCTTGTCCCGCTTTCTCCTTCTCCCTTCCCACTTACCCCTTCCCACCTTCTCAGCCCGCTGTCCCGGCCAGAAATAATCTGCCGATCTCCATTGCCGAACTGTTTCACCGTCACATTTTCCTCGCCAGAGAAAAATAATCCCTCTGCCCTTTTCAAATCTCTCGGATCTGTGCCTTCCGCTCTGTTCCGTCTTCTCGGCAGGCCATGTGAGTCTGGAGGATTACAACTACGTGCGTTGCGCCCGAATTCTTCATTTCCTCGCTCTGTTACTGCTGTGGTTCATTCGCATTGCCGTCGTCCTCCTCCTTCTTCTTCCGTTCGAACTGCCATTCGGCGCATGCGCATGCGCATCATGCCATCGACCAATGGCAAAAATCCCTCACGACGGCGGAGTTCGAGATTGCCTTCATCCGACACCCCCCCTGTGGCGTAGCGAAATTACGAGGAATGCGGCTGTACGCTGGGATATGACATGGGAGGTGTGCGCCTGCAACTGTGGGCGCATGCTCGTCGTTGACCAATGGCGAAAATCCCTCATGTCGGCGAAACCCGAAATTACATGGATCTGACACCCCACCTGCGGTGTAGCGAGATGACGAGGAACGCGGGTGTATGCTAGGAGGTGACTGGGAGAGGTCTGGACGTAGAATGCCGCCTTCAATGACTGGACCTCCGGCTGATTTCGATGGTCGCATTGGCCGTTCTGTTGTCGACCGTGTATCCTTGTATTCAGGCATGGTTTTCCAGCTTCGCGCTGTGGGCCATCGCCAGGCCAACGATTTTATTCATTGGTGAACCGGGCGCTGAGGCGACTCCAGCTGGTGGAGCGAGCTGGGGGCGCAGCGGTCGTGTGACAGTGAGGTGGAGCTTCCTGTATGATCCAAAGGCGTCCGAGCCACCGCATGTATCCATCATGTCCAATCCATTCGTCGTCGACTCTACGAACCCATGACCATCTACGTTCATATCCATGGATACCCAGGATTGAAATAACACGCGGTCTTGCTGGGCATCTCTCTGGGTTTGTGGTCCCCGGTGAACTTCTGATGCTCCGTGGCTCTGGACCGATCGACAGTGTGGTTCAGAGGAACCCAGGCTCGACAGCTTGCATTGTCATGTGTTTCATTGCAATTGATTCCCGCTGAGCGGGCGGTTGGCTCCCTGGCCGGACTGCGGAGATGAGCTTTTCCAAGGATGCCGGGTCTAACTACGAAGTGGGGTGGGGACGGCTGTTCGCCACACTCTGCCAGCGGCTGGGCTGGTTGTCGCTCTATAAAATGGCCAGCTTTCCCCCCCAGAAGCAATGTTTGCAGATCGAGAATCACATCTTCCCGAACCCCAAATCCCACGGAAAAGCACGCACACACGCCCGTACAGAGCAAAGAATGCCTGCGGTCACCATGAACAATGTCCAATTCTACCGACCACCAAATCTCCTGAATCCCCATAAACCACAGAACCTGAGCCTTGCTACAATCCCCACACCCCTCAATCCCCCAGCACAGAAACCCTTTCCCACCGCCGACATTTCCTCTTCCCTATCCCACCCCTCACAACAGCTCGGACACTCTTTGCCCCCTCGCCTGTCTCCATCTGCTCCATCTCCCATCTTCCATGCAAGTCAACACTCCCAGTCGCCCGACAATTTACAAAATGATTTTGACAGGATTCTGGAGCAGATCTTGTCGGATGACGGGACTCAACCACTTGACAGGAGCCGGAGAAATATCACCAACCATGCCGCAGTCCCCTGCAGATCGGATCTTCGTGATTCTTCCAGTGGCTGCCGTGATATACCGGTAAAGGCGGATATAGCTGCGGAAAGCGTCCCTGAATTTGGGCTTCACACATGCCAGGCAGGTGAAAGTAGAGGTCCGTCACCAGGCTCACTCAGCTATGTTCTACTGATCTCTCAGATGACCCAATTGTTGTAGATGACTCGATGGTGATTAGCCACGATGATGAGCAGAGAGGTGAGTCTGCAGATACGCCGACTTACCCATCAATGCTGTCTGTCCGCGAGACGTCCACGAATCGAGGTGGCGAGCTGGATGGGATGGCTAGGGTTAGCAGAGCCTCGCTGGCATTACGAGAAGTTTCAGGTAAGCGTTCTTCAATTCCTGTCCCGCGGTCTCCCACTGACCCTCAACAGAAACCCCTCTCATTACCACAGACGAAGTGACCACTTCCGCTGGACCCCACACCGGTGTCTCTCCACGCCCACGGAGTCGACCTCTAATCCCGGTTGACCACGTCGGTGCGGCTCAGAAGGGTTGGCGGGTCAAAAAGGTACTGGATTCCCGGATCCACATGCGAGGGGGCAAGGCAACTCTGGAGTACCGTGTTGCATGGATGCCTACATGGCAACCACAGAGTGATTTGATCCCGGGCTGCGAGGAGTTGGTCAAAGAATTCCACACGGAGTGGAAGGACAAACGGCCTTCACCGACCGCTCTAGCGGGCCACAAGCATTTCAGGCAGAAAACGGGATCACGCAGGGGCGGTGGACGCAAGATTGTAAAATCAATTGGTTAGAATCTGCGTACATGTCAATATCAATTTCGGCTCTGATTCGTTCCGTACTTTTCCTGTCTTGATTGTCTTCTCGTTTGCTTTGGTTCCCTTTGTTCGATCTTTGTTTGCTTAGTGTATTTGAATCCGGCCCACGAGCTCCATTGACATCGCCTATCACATTCCAGCCGAGGGTCTATCTTGCCTACGCCCATGGTATGGTACTTTCTTTGCATGTCTTTGTTTGTTTGTTCCTTTATTTGTTTGCTCTTCCCCCTCTTTTCTTTGCCTCTCACGTTGGTTTTTCTTCGAACCATTTCCGTTGGTCTATTTTGTCTAGCTCCGAAGAGATATAAAAACCTCTCCGGTTCTGAATATGTATATTCATATTCTTAAACCATAATAAACCATACTCTGCATGTCGACTGGAAAATAGTCGGGTGCTCGAAATGATTGAAATATTTAAACAAATGTCCGCGATACTCGAGACGATAGAAAGAGGGAGTAAAGAACAATATGATGCCGATCTACAGGCCTCTGCGAAAGCAAATCGAGATGTAGCATGTAACATTTGAGTTCCGGTAAGCAATATTTCCATATCCAGTGGGCTTTATTGCTGACTGTTCAGCAAGGTACGTCGAGAATGAGTACAATGAATGAAATGAATGGGAATTGACATCGGGTTATTGAGATTGTTGGTTCCTTGCCGTGGCTGTCCGTGAGATAAAATCAGACGCGGAAGACAAAGTGACTTTCTGAAACCCAATTGTTATTGCTGGTTGATGTGTAATTCAGGTACGAGTTGCTGTTGCTGGATTATCTAGACCTAAACATTCGGATCTTTCCAGCTGTGTAGTTCTATTCTTAGTTGTAAAAATTAAAAATATGTGAAATTAATTGGTGAAATAAAAATATATTTGGACAGTTCAATCCACAGGCAAAAAGAAGAACAATTTGACAAGAAGGCAACAGCACCTTCACACTGTTTCTCAAGGGCCCGTTTCCAACTCTACTCAGATGCTACTCTGGACATCTGTGTGTAGGATCCTAATATGAAGCTGGGATCTTGCAGCATTCCGCCACTTGTGATGTCTGTGTCTGACCCGGTAATGTGTTTTTAATGGACGCTGATACTGGATTACCATACATAGATATCTCCTGCAAAAGACTTCTTACTCAACAACCGCGTAATTTGCATTTGCCCAGGAACACACCGGGCGACCGTATGCTTGTTCCTCACTTTCAGTTGTGCTGAATGTCATGCCTTGGTGCCGTTTTAACTGGTTTCCATAAGCTAAAATCTCGCATGAATCAAGGGGGGAAGAGCTTTACCTTTTGAAGGCGAAACAAAAGTAGTTCAAGTTTGCATTTCTCACTTTGAGTGTAGCATAGGAAATCTTCTCTTTTGCGTATCATAAAGGAACTGTGAGGCCATAACTTTGCAGAGCTGAAATCAACAAGAAATGCACGGCCATCATTTGATCCCATTATATTTCGTGGAAACAGGTCACCATGGGCGATGTCCATATTGTGTAGATGATCGAGCTGATCTCGCAAACTCTGGGCTCCAGCGGGAGTAACTCTAGCCTTGTCGATGGTACACCCATCAATGTATTCAAGCAACAGTCCACAAATAGGGTCTTCAGCTGTATTTATTCTCCGCCGCCATTCTAGCTTCCATTCCAAGCTTTGTTCCTGGGCTTTATCAAGCTTGAGCCAGCCATGGCAACAAGGCCCAACCACTCCGCTTAGATTGTTTCCAATCAAGTAATCATACACTTGACATTCAACGATGAAGGGGTCTTTCTCCCATGCATTTCTTTCGAACCGTGATTCCGGCCAGTCAGGTTGTGTCAAGGTGTACTAAGGATATCATTATTGTAAGCAAGGGTTTAACTGAGCAGAGGAATGCCGCTAAGGTGTTTTGTACCAATTTGAGAGCATATATTTTGCGGTTAAGTCGTACTTTGAAGAGATAGCTATGGCTTCCAGTGAACAATAGCTCTAGAAACTCGATATCAGGCAGGAGGTGGCTAAGATCGTTGATGAAAGGACACTTCATCTTGTGGTGTTTTAACCACACAGTCCAGCATGTATGCTTGCGTTTAGATGAGAACGCCCGCTGGAGATCCATAGAAAGTAAAGAAGTAGTCGTGGTGTCGGTGCAAGCAGATAAAATCTCTGGAAAGAGTGAATAGCAATGCTAGGAGGTTTGTGGCCTAATCAGTGTGGGCGAGGTTATGGCCGTATCCACGTGATATCAATCGACTCCGCTTATGATTGGCTTGCCGTGCAGGGTACCACCAGGGTATCAACTATGGGAAACATTGTATCCTGTCGGTGGTCCTTGGCATTAACGTAGAGGAAGACTTTTAATTGGTGATCACCGACGATACACGCAAATTTAGTCTGAGATGTTCCATGGAGGATAAATTAAAAGGCGGGGTTCTTGGGGCTTTGAACTGTGTCTGGAGGTCATCGGATCGGCGGTCCGATTGGAAATCCATATTATCATGACCAATTAGATTGATTAAAGCTGTGAAAATCAACAGAGCAACTGAGCGCGCTAGGAAAGCGCAATGCAACTCCGCAAACGAGCTTGGCACTCTTCGTTGAGCACGTTCACTCCCCACCCGTCGTCCAAACCTTGTTTAGTATACAAATGGTGCTCATCACGCCAAACAGCAATAGACTGTTTTCATGAGGTGAAGGCTTTTTCCATAGTTCTCGGGCATCTTTCCTAAGTGCTTAACCTCCTTGGAGAAATAAATATACCGGTCCTCGTCTTGTTCTGATCGATTTAAGCTTCAATTATTGCTTGATTTTGCCCTTTTACCCCAAACGACTCTATTTGAAGAATAATTATTACCCTTTCCAATCCGCGGTCATGTCTACCCTGCTTGAATATCTTTCAGTCGTTGACCCCAGTTTGGATCGAACCAATGCCAAAAAAGGGACTAATTCGTTTAATAGAGACTGGGAAGATTTGGAGGGCGTTGAGGAATGGATGGATTTTACCTATGAAAACTTGATTGCTATGCTAGGCAATGTCCTCACTCAGCCATACCAGCAACATGAGTTTGACTCCCCCGCACCAGTTCGACGCTCCGCTTGTTGTATTGTCAATGAGCCAACTGTTACTGCTGTCCTCTTGAAATGGAATCATACCATTGTCGACTGCGCTCTGGAGCTAGCATCCAAGGCATCAAGTACCATCCCGGCGATATCTTGGACCTTAGGCAATCACTCTAGCCTTCGTGGCGAGACAGTTTTGCCGGACTGGGCTGGGGTTTATTCTAACATGGGTTTTCCCCCCAGCAATCGGGTTCCGGGTGATACCAAAGTGTCTGGGAAGTGGAACACAGATCAGCAACACGATCACTCAAAACAAGAGGAATTCTATAAACCACTCCGTCAAGTGGTTCACTATGCGAGGCTGTTCAACACCAGATACGCTTATATCATATCGGACAAAGAATTAGTTTGTATCAGAAGGACACTTTCAGAATATGAAGGGGTTTCACTGGCTGCTGACCGTCCAGCACGGACCAGTCAGCCTCCTGCCACTCCAATCAGACAATTCAATCGGCTTTCACAAGAACCCACAACACCTTCACCTAGAACAGATTCAAGTCCACCATTCCGAGTAGTGATTCCGCATCCACAATCTCAGCAGAGGGACGAACGATACCTTACCCCAGAGCATAGAACCAGAGTTAGGCAGAATAGTATTGTTTCTATCACTGCGCTGTCAAATATGTCACTTGATTCTCCCAGTTTGCTACTGTCATCACCAAGCAATATAAGATCCTCCCCCTCTGCTTATACTGCTGATGGAAACTTCGATGTGAATGAAGGCAATGTCCAAATAGCTGTGATCCCATGGGGTGAAAACAGATCAAAGCATCTAACTATCAATCTTGCACTCTTCTGGCTTCACATCTTGGCAGGATGTGATATTACTTTGCAATCATCATATCCTTCTCTGGGAAAGGAGTTGAACGGGAGGAAGTTCTGAACATGAAAAGTGGGTCCTTCTCATTTGCTTGCTTCTTACCTTTTCTCTTATGTTATCTGGCTATGGAAAAGAGAAGTGCATTCAAATGCCTTTTAGCGTCACCACTTGTTGAGATCAGGGGAATTATTATGTAGACTTCTGGTGAATATATTGAAATGCTGGGAACTTATAATTTTCTCTTTTGAAATCATCAGGTTTCAATTTCTTTTTTAACCCCTCCAACATTGCGCAGTTCAAGTGAACAACTTTTGCCCGCCTTGTGGCTCCTAGTCTATGGGTCAACAATTTTCCGGTCAGCCTGCTATTTGGGATTTCTCAGCATACTTCTCTTCTCGAATTCTGGATGCTGAGTACAATTTCTACTGTGGAAAAGATAGATAGATCTCTGATTCGCATACTGGGCAAAGTTTATCTTCAGTAAAGAACGACTAGAGCGCTAATAATTTCGGAAGTTTGATATTGTTATGCTCCACCGTTACTTGGATCCTTTTGAGAAAGTGATATCGGGTCGCTGGGCGAAAGACGGATTGTAATTTGATGTTGTGAAAGGAAGTAAAGCACATGATATAAATGGTAGTTGTATTGGTTCTACCTCTAAGATGTTGGGGGGGTTTGGATTGGTTCGTCCCCTCTACTACCAGCATGGCGCTGGTGTGAGAGAGCTCTTTTGCCCCAGTGACCTAACATAAGAAGCGTAGGGCTCCCACGTGTTTGTCTTGTTCGTCTATACCCGTTCGAGAAAGTGGTGAAATATGTTAACTGACAAGCGAAGCCCCTTGTTGTTCTTGGGCACTAGTTAGGCGGCCACTCCACCGCACGTGATTACCCCTATATAGTTAGCTAGCGATCACCCAATGAGAAGATTAACCATCCCACAGTTCTGACGCGTTGGGCACGTGAAGATCAAAACGTGGAGTGCCTTTAGGCGGTGGCTGGTGATAATTGGACGTCTGACCCTGTTGTCGTAGAGATACGCCCAGTCCAGCCATTGTTATTACAGGGTCGTTTTATGCCCTCCTGATGGATTGACCTTTTCAAAGATCCAACCCGCCTTTTCTTCGGGCGCTGGTCTATGTCGGACCGGTGAAAGTCTATGATCAGAACCCGGCGCAGTTCGTTATTCCATAACATGTTGGCAGACCGCAGGTCTTTATGTACCACTCCCAGCATGCGGATTTCCCTCTTCGACCTGGAAATCTCACGACTTAGCACTTCCTTGTCTTTGACGTTCTCTATACTTTCCCCCGCCCAACCCATGAGAAGCATGTGGCGGATGTCCCCAGCACCATGGAGGAAAAGGAACAATTTCAAATCAATCGTCCCCAGAAATACAGGGACAGCAGAACCCTGTGCTTTTTGAAGAACCCGGTATATTTCTGCTTCACGTGAGACAACTTTCCATAACCCGGCTGTTGTCCCTTTTCCAACAAAAGTGTAGCCATATGCAGCACAAGTGATCTTGAAGGGTGCACCATACGATCCACAAGTCCCAAATGGTGTGCAGTTATGATCAAGGTCACGATCGAGCTGTTCATTCAGTATTTGCACAAGCTTCCTTGCATCGATACAATGTCGATCATCATTCTGACCCCGCTGGTGGAGAGAAACATTAGGGCATTGATGATCCAATTCACCTCCTTGTTGCAAACCCAATAAGCATTGCTGTGTACAGTAACGTGCCGTGTGTTGGCTCTGGCCGCTCGATGGCCTAGGACCTGCTGGGCGCGCCGATGAACGCTGGTTGGGCGGGGAGGACATCACTTGGCTGAAGCCCCGCTTCCGGCCGTGCGCTGTTTGGTTAGAGTCGGAGTCGGAAGAATCCATATGATCATTCAAAGGTGAGGTATCCATTGGTGCACAGGTGGTTTGAGATCGGGTAGAAACTCGACGGCCGGGCTGTAATGGAGACGATGGCAGATGTTCAGAGGGCATATATTCCGAGCTTGCATATTCTGATCCTGGAGGAGTTTGTTGCAGCTCGTCATCGGGGATTTGCGACCGTGTAAAGTCAAAACTTGTTTTCCATATATGGAGCTGGGATCTTGCAGCATTCCGCCACTTCTGGTCACGGATATCCGAGAGAAAGGACATCAGACAGAGACATAATATTCTGGCAATAGCTGTTTTTGACTGATAAAAGACCCCAGGATTTTCTGAAATCACATCCATGTTTGGTTCACAGAGATAGTAATAGAGTGTACTAGGGTCGCTGTATGGAACATGAAGAAGAACAATAGCAAATCCATTAGTTATGTAGGAGTACTCCAGTCCAGCTTGAATCATGACATGATACTCCTGAACCAAAACTGAGCAAGTCAGCTGTTCCGCATTATATCTCAGCTTTTCATCCTTGTTCAGCTCATCACTCTTGGGGATTGTGTCTGACTGAACAATCTCTTCCCAGAGCTTCATCGATCGAAGACCCGCTCGGAGATTTTCAACCGAGAGCTTGTGTGGCGGCTTATACTCGACTGTTGTAATCAAAGTATTCGTGGAATCGTTGATCCGATGAATACAGAATGAATCTGGTTTGGGATGCTTTGTGCTGGATTCATCAAGCAGCTGTACATCTGACTCTTCTGATGTCTGTAGAAGATTTTCATGATTTTCAAACAGGATCCCATCTCCAAGCCGGAATCTCTCTCGGGCATCAGGTATTTTGCATAGCTCGGCTATGATATCATGGACATGATCTTCCACAGCGGTTCGCTCGTAGTGTTCCAAATCCTTTTCACTTCGTAGTTTTCGGCTAGAATACCGCCGACCAAGTTCATTTAGCACAAGAAGAGATGTGAATAGCCGAGGTGCGTCTTTTCCAGCTGGCTGGAGGTAAGTGGAAACTGAATCATAAATTTCTTGCAGTTGAGCCGGGCAGTTTGACCAAAAGCAAAGACTTGTTGGGCAGTATTTCCCAGTGGGTAGTGGAATACTCCCCTTCGTGGAGCGGGATGGCGTTCCAACCTGCAAAGGCCGGGAGAATGAATCATGACAACCTTTGATGAGCTCTTCGAGTGTTGTCGGCTGGCTGCGCACTTTTTCCTCTGCCTCTCGCTCTTCTGCCTGCCTTCGCAACTCTGCTTCCTGCCTTTCTCGATCTTCTGCCCGCTTTCGTTCCGCTTCCGCTCTATGGAAGAGAGCCTTGTAATCTGGTGAACTGTTATCGGCCATTAGAGAGGGATAAAAGAGTTATATCAAAAAGCAAAAGTTGGTACCAGGAATTTAGTGGCATAGCGATAGGCGATAATCCTGAAGCACGAGAGACGAGCTAGCCACCTCGCCCAAAATAACACGGATCAACGTTTACCCTAGTCTCAGAAGACGCGATATGGGCCTAGTCTACTATTTCTTGTATGTACATACATCTGTCCATATCTGTTTCAAAGAGAAGGGAGAGGAAAGTGGCGTGATCGATCTTATGGACTTCTGTTCTATGCTCTTTGGCATTTGGACAGGCTCCATCCAGCGGCTACCCATTCAAGAGACCAAGCAAGCACTTTTGCGCGCAACGCCGAGTTCCATCCTTACAGACGGTTCTTTGCTTTTCAGTGGCTTGTAAGGTGTTGGAGGCTTCTCATCTGTTTCCGGCGCTGGCAAATATAAATCTTCTTCTGTAACCATCCATATTTGAGCCTCACACATGTTAATAGACCTTTCCAGATTTAGTGACTACTCTGTATGGAGGTCCCTTTCAAAAGTTCATTCTGTCGGAACTAACAAAGTCCGAATATTGCCCCAAATACTGAATATCGATAGAATAATTGAATTGCTTATTATCATTCTGCTAATTACATGAAAAGTAGGCAGTATTTATAAGAAAGATCATGCTTAGATGTACGCAGGAGATTCAGTGGAGTATTGCTTAGTTTCATGTCATGAGACATTCCATGTTGTAGGAGGATAATGTTGGTTGTGTGATTGTTAACTATCTAAGCGAGAGCAACACTATATGTTAGGTGGCACGTGCCTGGGGTAGCCACTAGGAATGCCTAACACATGTTCCAAGCTGCTACTAGAATCCTTGATAATAGAACTTACCAAGTTCAACACATTCCCTGCCTAGTAATCTATATGGTTTTCAAATTACAATCATGTAGCCTCTGATCAGTTACAAAACGACATATATACGATCCTCTGTTCCAGGACTACTTTTGGGGAATGGCCAAAAACATAATTCAAGCGGGTCGGATCAAAGGGTGAAGAAGGTGCAGTGGATTCGAGAGATCTGTTCGATGTCATAACCAAGACAAACACATTCTTGTTCCGTTAGGCAATAACATTCCAGAAACACTTCTCCACACACTATGCCAAAAATGTCCAAGAAAACACACTGTCACATGATGAAAGATTGCTGTGTCAGCAATTTTTCCCACCAAACCCCGCTATTTACCAATATGATATTTTTGCAACTGTTCTGGAGCATATACTGATTTTCATGAAGACAGATAAACTAGGAGGAGAGCTTTGCACCCCATATCTGGTATTGATAAGTTTATAAAACCTCAAGACTTTTCCCCTTTCTTACCTTGTGGGAGGTGCATCGAACTGACAATTGTTTATTTTTCGTTGCTCATACATATATTCAGGCTAACCTAACCATGCCAAACAGATCCATACTGCACATTCTTCAACAAGTCATTTTGTTATAATGCCTACATTGACAGAGTGCCATCAAATTTCAGAAGAGGGAAACGAAAAACTCAAGAAGTTACAAGATGCCATTTTGACTGGCAAAGCAGTTGTTGAGATGACTGAGAGCAATGGAAATGTGAAATATGCGAATGAAAGCCTCAATGATTATGTTGTTCCTCTTCTAAAGGAACTGAAGCTCGGTGTAAGTGAGCACCTTCCCAAACTAGACATCAATCTAACGCCCCGCTTCAAGCACTTCGGCTACACTGCATGGCGAATTTCCACGCGTATACCCATCGCCAACAAAACCGGCCCTGAATACATTATCCCGATCAACAAAATATCTGGTGATCCGTGTCTGCTTCCCGGTGGGTCCCTAGATCCCGGGACATATATATACCATGACGGAACTGGCGAGCTTCTTCCAACACTAGTGTATCTCTTTGTCGGTCGTCCACGGTAGGGCTGAGATCGCAAGTATTAACGTCAATATTCATCGGGTATGAAGAGGGCAGTTGGCTTGACACTAGTAATACTATACGGGTAGAATTTGGCAGTCAGCATTGAAATTGGGTAGATCCTCCGTTTGCATGTAGCGTGACTGATTGAAATGTGATTGACTGTATATTTACCAAAGTCCCCATTTCCATGTATCCCGTTTTGCATATACATAGAAGGGTCGAAAGGGGTAGTTGAACGTCGCACCTCATCATCATATGGCAAACTCCCCATCTGCATATAACGGGAAGGGTCGAAAGGGGGATTCGAACGTCCCGTCTCATCATATGGCAAAGACCCTATCTCCATATAGCTAGAAGGGTCGAAAGGGGGAGTTGGATGCCCCATATCATCAATATTAGGATCGAAAGAGCCAGCTGGATGTTCCACTCCTCCTGCACTTGGTAAGGTTCCCATATCCATGTATCCTGAGGGGTCAAAAGGGCTGGTTGGATGCTCCTCTGTGCCATGAGGGTAATCCTGGGGAGCCATCGACTGCTCCATATTAGTATTGTATGACTCAGAAGAAGTCAAAGTGTGTTCTCTGTCCAGGCTCTTTGTCTGATCTCCAGAGTGACCTAGGTTGCTCGCAGCAATTGCCAGAGAATCCAGTCTGGTATAGATTATCGGGGAAGCTGGCTGGCTTGGACTCGGGGAATCCCCTGTTTGGTTGGATGGCTGGCCCGGGTTATCCAGCAGTTCGGAAAGGGGTTTGGGCGTGATGGTACCATTGTCTTCCCAGCTCAGGTATTTTCTCACTATGTCCAACAGACGGCTAGGAGCGTCTCTCAAAAAGGCATAGGTGTAGTCCTCTTGTCCATAAGTTATCAACCCATCAAGTATGATTTTTGCTGCCAATCTGCATTTCTCGATCCTATTTTCCTTGAACTTTTGAAGTTGAAGCCACTTGGTGAATAAGTTCCGTTGCGTGTCCCTCAAACGATGTTCGCATCTGGCAATGTCAGCTAATGGTTAATAAACTAATAAAGAACAGGCTAACTCACAAACCCGAAACATTAAGGTCCAGCTCGAATATAATAGCTGGACCAGCTTCTTGCATCAACTTAGTATAGCCCTTACCCCGTCGCCACCATAGTTTCACTTTCTCCAAATCGCAATCCCATTCTTCAGCAATCAATTTGTATGCGTCAGTAATGTGTTTGTTCCCACCTGCATAGTCCACTACTGCCAAGGACTTATACTCAATCTCATGGACTGAATAGATTAATGAAAGGCGTTGTGCAAAAATATTGTTGGTTATGTTTTCTTCTGCATTTGTTATAAATTTACGCAAGCGTCGTCCTGGTGTTGAAAGTGACCGATCAATGAGACCTTCAGTAGGTCCCAAAATCTCTTTGCATGATGTTGGCAAAGGCTCATTTTTGTAGGCCATTTTTAATTCCATCCATTGGCAGAGTACAGGCGATTTCTTTTGTTTATCCGTGTCAAAGTTTCTTCGTCTTTTCTTGGGGGGACGACTTTGAGGCTCGTGTGAACTGTTTGAAGGTGGTAGGGTATTATTCCGGCTCCTCCCAACCCTTAGATTGGAAGGGTTGGAAGAACTGGTGGGGCACGGCAACGGGCATCTACCCGCTGGCTGGTGATAGAGACTGGAAGAGGCCGAAATGGAAGAACTAGTAGGACATGATGACAGATTCTCTCTGTACGCCAGCTGTTGATAGGGGTTGGAAGCGATCAAAGAACTGGGTGGATGTAGCACTGGTTCTTTGGATAATACAGGCCGAAGAGAAGGTAATCGTGAGGAGAGCTGATCCAGCGATGAAGCCTGAGTAGACGGTAACTGAGGGAGAGAGAAATTTGCATTATTCGAGGGTCTGTATTGTGCTGGAATGAGCTTCCAACACTGCTCTGGAGCTCCTCTAAGAAAAAAAAGGTGAAAATCCCGTTTAGAATCCTATGCTCAGGTCAGAAAATAACGTCTAATCTAGGATGTGTTAATTACCTCTGAATCAAGAACTACCGAGGGAGAGAGTTTCTGTAATACTTGCGAAAGAGTGCGAGCCTCCATATTTTCAGTCTCAATCTTTTTGAGAAATATATTGGAAGGGCAATGTGCTTGAGAAAGAGGGGAGATGCAATCAGCCAGACGTTTGACACTCTTGATCATATCACGTGCATACAACGCTCAGCGTCGTATGCACGTGATTTTTCTCAGCCAATGGTGACCTGGTAGAAAAGCGATGCTGGCATTGTCTCACCCCGTTGATCCTAGCTTAATGCACATTCATTCTATTGGCCTACAATGTAAGCCTGGCGCAGCCTACAATTGGATAAGCAATTTGAGCAGCGTCTAGTGACATTGTGTCCTTTGGAAGGAACTAGGGTGCTCCGGCGAACTAAACATGGTGTGCAAGTTCATGCTGGACTGGTGTGGGCTTCCCATCATGCTATAGGAGAAAAATATAGCCTGCCATCGTTGTTTTGTGGCTCTCCGAAGTTGACGTGCCATAGACGGGCCATTTCCCACCCTCGTACAGTCCAGACTGTCGATCGAAACGATAGTCATCAAACTGAGAAATATGATCTGGCATGTACTTGCATTATGCTCACATGGATTTCTTTTCATTAGTGGAGTAAATTTGGTAGCACTGACGGGTCTGGTGGACTCGGATATTGTTTACCTAGATTGTTGTTGTTGTTGTCTTAGATTGTTGTCTTTGTTTTCCTAAATTTGGGCTCACACACTACTCCCATGACCCGCCAAGTTGGATGCATAGCTGCTTTCTCCTTGGATTCCCAACAGAAGACAACCCTCTGTTCTGAAAGAATGATTACTGATGTTGCATTATAGTTGCTTTGACCTCTACAGCATAGCCAACACTACTCGGTTTCTCCTCGCCAACGCTGCATACTGTGGGATGAACTTTCCCCAAAAGCAGCAGCTGCACCGTATGGCGTAGACTCCAGCAAGAGTGATATTGAGCCTGAAAATGAGCCTTTTGGACTTCCTTTTCCCATTGAGGACAGCTTTAACAGATATCACATCGTGGTCGATGCTGCTTTTGTACTCATCACCTGGGCGATTGCAGTACATGCGGGATGATGGCTGCCACAGCAAAGCCCAATAACCAGGAGTATGCAAAGTGCAGTCAGGGGCGCCAGGTTGTGTCGAGGGCACGGGGAAAGGATATCTCAATCCGTGGAAGGCGAGTGCGATATACATGTCCAGCTTGAGTCCGTGCCATACTCATGCAAAGGGATCACAACAGATTAATAACAATAGTGTAACTATTTGTACAGGCTCTGGACAGCTCCGTCCAACATTTGCTGAAGTTAGGATAGCATACCCCTTGTATCGAAAAAGCTATATTCGAGGCGCACAGAGAGTCGCTGCCGGATAGTTATAAACCACAAGACATCTCTCCGCCGGATCATTTCAAAATGGACCAACTTGGCTGCCTTTTCTTACAAAATGTATCCTAACATCTCATATGCGCTTCTGTCGGCGGCGCTCATTGTGCTAAGTACGGTGCATCTCATCTTGCTTACCGTTCACCGCCCCCAGCCTCACCATTCGCCTGAGATATCAATCTTTGTTCTCTTTATCTGTGTCAATGCCGTTGTCATTGGTGTTAGTCTATCAGGTCTAAGGCACGGCGGTGAGCAGTCCCTTCTACCGAGATGGTGATGATAAATGCTAAATGCTTGTTTCAGATACGCCAGCATTTTACTATCCCTTGGCAATATGTACAGCATTTCCGCTAGCCCTTGAGGTGTGTTATTCCCAGTCCCCTGCTTTGGTCCCTGCTAACCGTGATGTCTAGATGATTCGGCTGAGCAAAATCCAGGCCGGACCACTTACGGACGCCCTCCTGCATCGATTATTTTTAGGGTATTGTTTTCTGTCCCCTGCAGTAAAGCTCGGGTTGATCTTATGGTGTGCTCTTCCCCCTAGTCTTGATAGGCCTTTGCTCATTGAGTTAGCTCGGTCGCCTATGAAGCATTGGTAAAAGGTACAGCTGTAGCTGTATCTATCGACTACATGGTCCTCGCAATTGCCGGTCTGCTTTTTTGGTGCGGAATTCGCAGTATATCATCTCAGGGGTCTATTATCTGTGAAGTTGCAATCCATACACTTCTTGTTATCATAACAGCAGGCTTTGCTGCAGGTGGACTCGTCCACGACTGGCCCCTCTGGATTGAAGTAAGTTCAGTGAAACCATGGATGTCGCTTCAACGTGTGCTGATATGGATCCAGGCAATGTTGATTATCACTATTGGTGCCTATCTGGCTCGAAATATTTCCACCCTGTCTGGCGAGCCGGGGAACACAGTGCTGTTACCAAACCCAGAGGACACATCCAATCTAGACCAGCTCAGACCCCACCAAGAAAATCGTTCTGCTCGCTTCCCTTTCACTCCAAGCCGTGATAGGGCCATGGCGATGATAAAGACTGTAGTGGGGTTTGGCACCGGGGCAACATCAATGACCGAGGACTATACACAACTAGACGAGATTGGAACAGCTCGCCCTGAAACAGCACATCTGGTACATCACCCTCTCCTGTTTCTGCTGTGATGGTCTAACAGTAATTTCTAGAAAATTAAAGCAGTGATCTCAATTTACTATCCAGATCTGCCAATCTTGAGCACGGGGATATTTACTGTACGATGCGAGGGACGCGAGGGGAACTATTCGCGGAAGCTGAGATACAATGAATTGACTGCTCGTAGCGATGGGAAAGCTGCGCTTCAATTGTTCCAGCCCTGATTTTTTTAATTCTTTTTTATTTTGCTTTTTTTTACCCTGCGGCCCTTGTCTATGACTCTACATTGTGCTGCTACATAGCTTCCCAGACAACACATCCGATTTTTCCTGTGATTGCATTGGAATGTGGCTGCCTCTAGTCGTGTAGTAAGGTCCCATGCTCTTCTAAATTTACTTGCTTCTAATTGCTTGAACATTGAATGGTTTTAGCTATTTAATACCATAACAATATCAATTGACCTAACTTCCAGGTTTCATTTCTGCTCCCGCCTTGTCTTCTTTGCTGGGAAGCTTGTCATGCGGCTGGATGCTTCTTACTCTAGTCTTATAGCTTCAGAATAAGGATATTAAAGCTAAAGGCTTGAGCACAAATATCTCCAGACCTTATATGATATTCTTCACTTCATGGTCTGGTGAAGGTACAATTGAGTACACAAACAGTTTAGACACAGCAGCAAGCAAAGTAATTCTGGGTTTGAGAGGTATTGATCTTCTTAGGATGTTCTTTTCATTGTGTAGCTAACGCTTTTTCAGAGATGGACAAAGATTTGACCTCGGGCCAGCAAGTACGGAAAAGAGCAAGCACTGATGCGATGCGAAAAAATGCAGAGCCCAACAAAAGAACCAACAGATCTCAGGATCAAGATGACAACCAAATCATGGCACATGATCTATTGAACAAAATACGGGGAAAAAGCCAAACCAAGGAAGGATATGTTCAAAAAACAGTTCGCCAACGTCTGAGACTCTACTGCTGCAGATGTGAGGAGGATGTTAGCAGTGGGGGGGAATGTCGACAATGTGGCCATGCATCGTGTCCGGAGTGTTTGCACGAAAGGAGACTGCGTAGGGAAAAAAGATCAGTTGACCCATCACACGAACCGAACCAAGCGAATAGCCGTCATGATGCTCAAACAAATCTCCAAAAAAGCTCAGTCCCGGCGATCCGTCTTAGCCAAGCTATTGATAGTGATGGGGATCCAGAAGTGCTCTATATGTTGCCTTACACTGAACTGAAGGGGAAACTGGAGAAAGACACAACAAAAACGGAAGACCTGGGTTAATCGAGCCATCAAGTGCTGCTACTGCGAAGGAACTGGCTCAGCGGTCAATGGATGCGTATGTGGGCATAAGTATTGTGGAATATGCTTCCGTTACTCAGAATGAGCCCGACGCGACAGGCGAAGCTGTGGGGGAGATTCGAGATTTGTAAGATGGGAGCGCAATTGTGCTGTGGGGAATTTAGACTTACATTTCAGGGGCTCTCGGATCAACAATTTCTCCGATAGTTTTAAATTTGACCCTATCAACTTTCAAGTCAGATGACATATAACATTTCAAGATGTAGAATGTATTTATTGAACTGCTCATCTGCTCCTTACAACTTTCTCGGCCGCTCTACTGTAGAAGAATAATGTTGTTGGTATTTCAAGATGTAGAGAATATATATTGCAATGGGTTAAGTTCATCTGCTGACAGAAAAACACACAGCTAATTATAGCAACATCACCCTTTGTGCTTCCTGTTCACCAAGAGCAGCTGGGAGGGGGGGAGGTTTACATAACCCTCCAAAATGAGAAAAGATAGATAATCGAGGGCCATGCAAATATCAGCAAAGGTGGCATTCTAGAAATTTCACTGGTTGTTCAATCTGCAAAGCATGTCAGATGTGATGAAGCAGCACCTACCTGCTGCAACTGCTTAAAAAAGAGCTTTCACTGCAATGGTGCCCAGAGTGAAACACTCTACAGATTCATTGACCCCAGCCAGGCGGCTCCAATCAAAACCGGTGTCTCCAGCCCACATCCATTGCCATATAAGGATTCAACTTCCCCTTGCCAACATTCTATGGATTTGCAAAGTGGATCCACACTTCATCAGATTTTCTTACTATGGTGAGTCTGCTATTCTTCATCTACTTAGGAGAGTGCGGCTAACAGAAAAGGATATTGAAACTAATCCCACCGCTGTCAATGATGAGGCTCGCGATCTCCAGTCCCATTCCTCCAGCGATGGTCCGTACTTGATTAGCAATGCTGATTGTTACTCAGACTATCTTGATATCCGTGGTGATGTATGAAATACAAATGGGATTGACATTGCCATGCTAATTCTAAATAGATTTGTCGCGGCGATGAAAATGCACCCTTGGCTTTCATTGTTTTCATTTCAGAGCCTGTACTTCAAGAGCGGCTGGAGTATCTGAAGGCTCATATTTTTCATCTACAGTGTATCCTTCGCACATTCTCTGAGAATAGATTTGATGGACCTCTGGCATTACCATACGCGCTTTGTCTGGTAAAAATTCTTCGACAACACGCAGGGCAGCAATTGTCTGTGAAGAGATTGGATGATACCATCCAATTCCTCTCCACACGATTGAGAGGGCTGCTGTCAACACCTCTGTTATATACCGGTCGAGGTCGCATAAGTCGTGCATCACTTCTACTTCAACGGCAGGTGTTCCACGAGCGTCAGAACTTGCCAGGAGATCTCTGGCAACGGAGCACTGTTTTGAGCTTCTCCATGGATGACAATCTAACTGTAACATTGTTCCTTACAAATCATCCCTATTTCAAAGTGCCTGATGAGATTTGGAATGGTGTTAACTCCTTGAATTTGGGTATTGCTGATGTGGCTGTGATGTTTGGTGTTGGTTAATGTGTTTTACCACTGCAGAAGGATAATGTTGTTCTCAGATAGCCGTAGCACCATCCAATCTTCTAATTCTTCACTCATTCATCTACAGTTAGCATACACACTCTTAATGATGGTTTTTCACAATGAACATTTTTAGCACCATGTCCAAGTGCCTCTGCCAGGATCCATGCACAGTTTTGACACAAGCGCCTCATTGCTGACGCGGAAAAACTATATACAAGGAATCAATGGGTGAGCTGCTAAAAATTTCCTCCAACATCGGATGCGTATGTGGGCATGAGTATTACCCAGCATGCTTCCATTAGTGTTGTAGAAACTTAATTTAACTTGCTGAGTATTTTCGGGGGCTCTCAGATCAACAATTTTTCCGACAGTTTAGATTACACAGAATGTCTCAATGAGGCGTTTGTGCCAATACTGCACATGGATCCTGAACAGGGACACTTGTGATTGACTAAAAAGGCGCCGAGGAAAATGACGCTAATTGTGCCTCACTCAGACGGAGATACAGTAGCTACCCGACCTCTCTGTAGTAGAACGGCCGAGGAAGAGCAGATGAGCAGCATCACTTATCTCATTTGCATCTTTTAATTAGTCATTAATTGTGAGGCTCTGAGCAGCTATAAGAATAGCCATGTTCGTCCCCACTCATGTAGCAAAATACAAATCGTTATCCACGGGAGCCTCAGGACCACGAAGTCGATCAAGACTTCCATAAAGAGCATATAATCAGCTTCAAGTTGTCTTTCCATCATGGTAAGTTGAGCACTTCCGTAAGTTTGTCGTTTCTTAATGCTTATCTTATTCAGGAATCTCTCGATATTGTTGCTCAAGAGAGACGGGATATTGATCAAAATATTGCCAACCTGGATGATCTCTATAGCGCGTTACTCCAAATGAGACAGGATATTGAAGAAAATATTGGCACCCTGGAGGAACCTCTTCGGCACCTTAACAACGCCAAGACAACTGGTGACATACAAAAATATCTTCAAGAATTTTCAATTGAATTCCACAAGCTTTTTTTGTTGTTTGAAAAGCTGGCCGGTTTTACGACGTGCGCTTTGAGTATAGGCATAGAAACAGGGGAATCGGTTGGGTTCAGATGGCATATAGCCGCTTTCTGGGAAGATTACGGACATATACAGCAGATCATGTACACATGCTCATTATGTCGTCAATTGCAAGATGCTAAGCTTCGTCGAGGGGTACAGTACCTTCAGGAACAGATGCGTGATTTAGAAGCTGTTTGTGAAGAAAGCAAGGAGCAACTGGAGGCAGACTTGGAAAACCTGGAGGAGGACCTGTTTTAGTGCATATTAATGCGTTTTATCCATAAAATCTCAAACTCATCCAAAGTGATCTCAAATCTCCAAGCAACACACCCAGAGCGATTAGGTCGTTGCTTGTTGGAAATGCTACTGGGGAATGTAAATGAATGGTGCCAAACAGTACATAAACAAATGCCGTCAGCCCTCCTGTACCTTCGTGGCTTATTGGGTATGGATGGCCATGCACAAATTGATCCCCAGCTGGGTTGGGCGAAGCAAAGATCCGAACCATTTGTTCCATGCTAACAAATTCCAGGGGCTCAATCCAAGTTCCCCGGGCAGGAAGCAGTCAAGGTAAGGCTGGCTTGCACTCTGGACCTTGTCGTGTCTCTCACTAGATTCCATAAAGAGAGGCCTTGCACCCACCCTTCTCCCATCCTCTTATTCTCTACACAGGTTGGAAATGAGCCGGCGTGGGATCACAAAATCCCAATCTCAATCATCTCCTTGGCCCCCGTTCCAAAAGAGTTTTTAGCTGGTTTCTAGTTTTTACTCTTCTCTTTATCTTGTTTGGTGTTGCCTTCTGGGTAACTCTCTGGATGGTTGCAAAAGTCGCAGTGTGGTTGGCTGCCCAGTTGGTCAAAATATTTCCTCAGCCACAAAGAGCAAAGACAAAACAGAATTGAACAAGAGTTGTTATATCCAAGTCCTTGAAGAAGTGAAAATTCCAGAATGACAGATGCCCAGAGAAATCAAAATAACTCAGGAGGTGCCATCAGTCATGGTTGATGATTCTGAACTGCAACTGGCTGCAAGGTGAACAAGGGAGCTGCCCAAAAGTGCCAGCCAGATATACTGTGATCACCCAGATTGCCACAATCATATCCCATACTTTAAGAGACACAGTGAGTGGAGGTATGCAGCCCCTTTTTTGAATATGGTTCCCATTTCTTGAGCTATGTGTTAAGTACATGAACAGCAAACACATGGATAAACATGACCACCCATACAAGTGCACAATCCCCGGTTGCAATCAATTGTTTACCCGGAAACATAACATGCGCCGTCATGTAGAAGAGATTCATCAAAAAGAGAAGGAGTGGATATGTCCTTATTCAGACTGTGATCGCAGCTCAGGAAAACAGAGAGGCACATCTCAAATATCATCTCCTTTCATTCAGCTCCCTTCCTTTGCAGAGTTTGAGGTGGAAGTTTCAGAATGGTTTTGAAATATATTGACAATCTGTATTTACTTCTCTCTGGTGCAGAGCTCTGTGTGATTTTCTGTTGTACAGTACATGCGTCGTTTGCTGGTTGATAATGTTGTTAAATCAAAGGAAAATGATTGGTTACCCAAAAATAGAATTATCCTTGCTTGCGCCAATAAGAAATAGTACATCCCGGAAAATTAGAAATCCCGGATGTTGATGAAAACCCTAGTGATGCCAAATTCTCTACACAGCCGGAATTAAGGGCTCCCATGGCAAGTGATGGCTTGTACAGGCCCCAATAACTGCTTTACTGCATATGGTCTGTTCTTGGGGCGCGAACTCTGAACTATCCTCCTGACTTATAAAGCTAGTGGTTACACAATGGCTAAGCGTACCTTGAGCTTAAAATAATGACAAGGTTATACCAGTCGAGGGCGCTTAAGTCGTGCATTATCTGATGAGATTTGGAATGGTTTTCTCTCCTTAGATTCCTTGGATTGGGGTATTGCTGATGTGGCTGTGGTGTTTGGTGTTGGCTAATGTATTTTATCACTTTCTCGGCTGGTCTAATATTTTGCCAACGGAAATCCGAAGCCCCATCATCCAGCAGCCCAGGACATCACCAGCGCATGCTTGCCTTCCCTGGATCTTCAGACTGAGGTGATGGAGATTGCAATCTCTGGCGGCCGTGTTTTCCTGATTGATGCATCTTGTCCACTCGCTCATTGCCTTGTTTGCGCCTTACATCGACCCGGGGAACGATACACTGCTGGAATCAGAGGATGGCTCCCATTGCAACTGGTAGCTTGGGGTCCATATCCCGACAGGGGATGGCCCCTGCGGCGAGTATCAAGTCTAGTGGTTTTCGCTCATTTTGACAATCACCACTAGCCCATTGCCTTGAGCAAACACAGGCTAGCCATCCAAGGCTTGTCCTTATGCAAGGGGAAGGGCCATATGAACCATTTGCCTTGTTCCGCGCCTTGTTACATGCATGCGCGATTTTGGCACCGGCGCGCCAATCAAGAGGTGGGCTGTCAAAAATGGCTACTCCGCTTGGCAGCCTGTGATTTCTGCTCATTTTTCATCATTTCCTGGTTTGGCTGGTTATCCGCAAGCATAAAGGGATAGGAGTGACCCTGCCTTGATCTGTATTTTTGTATACTTCACTGTCTGTTCTTTCTCAGAACCTTCACAAGTCACATCTTGTCATATCAAGGCGAGCCAGCGAGCCAGCATGTTCTCCAATCAATCGACGAGGCAATTGCTTGCCTCTTCTCCACTTGCTTTTAAACCCCACGTTCCTCAATATCGATATTCGGACCAGGTTGAAGATATCGTCGATACTGAGGAGTGTACCCATGAGGATGAGGTTGAAGAGCAGATATCATACAGTGGGAACTCAATGGCATCTGATTCAGTTACACCAGCCCTTGAAGGATTTCCAGATGTTGAGAAGTTTGATCAGCTCATGAAGAGGTAATAATCACTACATCTATTCATCCCTGAAAAGATCACTGACAGGTTATTAGTTATACTTTAAGTTCAGTAAAGACCTTAATAACCTCGAACGATGCTGAACGGATAAGAATGGTACTTCTTAACCCCGAAGACACATCCATAAAATCAGCAAATTTTCGGTATGATTGTTGAAATTTCAGTTCTTTTTAGATTGAGAAGTAATATATAGTCATTTCAAATCTGGCGCTGATATATGTGAAGGCGCTGGGTGAAAAAATCGTTCACGCTCAGCAATAACCAGATACCCAAGGTATGTTTTGAAAAGCTGTATGGAATAATGTGCTCTCAGACTGATGTTCATCTAGAACAAAACATTGATCTACCGCAAAGAAACTCTAAAACTCATTGTAATCAAAGAGAAGCTGTTTGAAATTCTGACAGAAGCACATCAGCAATGCCAACACGGAAGCCAGAGAAAGACTTTAGCACAAGCTAGAATGACATATTCCAAGTACACCCATGCTACAGACTCAAATCCCCCCTTAGAAATATCAAATGAACTAACTGCAGAATTAACAGAATCCCTGAGATGCTAGTTCAACAATACATAAAAATATGCCCAACGTGCAGTCCAGTACTATCTGAACCACCAGTACCGGCTTTGGAAGGATTCCCAAATGTCATTGAGTTTGACAAGCGCATGGCAAGGTATCTATATCAATTCAACACCGAGAGAGGCTACTGACATGTTTATTAGTTATATCAAACATTTGCCTGATGAATTTAGGGATAAAGCTACAATATCCTGGAGCATGGCTGGGAAGATTGGAAAGACGCTTCTTGGTGACACTACAGAACCAGTTGAGTTTCAGTATGCATGTTTCAACCTTCTGAATAGTCATTTAGAGGCTGACTTAAGTGTTTTGAAGAGGTTGGTCCAAAAAGATGTTCACATTAGGGCGGATCAATGGTCAGCTTTCGGTCTTCCGGGAAGGGAAACCCATTGCAACTGAAGAGAAGCTCTTTAAAATTTTGACAACAGCACATCAGAAATGTGAACATGGAGACCAGAAAAAAACTTCAGCAGAAGCTAATGAATTGTATTCTTGGTGAGTATATTCATTGCTGTCTGAGAATATTTTGAAAAGACAATCTTGACTAACTTCAGAATTAACAGGGTTCCCGAGGAACTAATTCGTGAATTCATTCATATATGCCCAACATGCAGGCTGAAATTCACTGAACGATCATTCGTGTGTGGGTATGATGGATGCAAGAAAAGCTATCAACAGCTGGACTATCTGAGATGGCATCAGTTGAATCGTGCGCATTATACTTTCCCTTCTATTGATTCTTTCTGTTGCTGATGTTAACAATAAGACAACCCTAAGGACATCTACCATCGCGACTTCCCTAACTGGCTTCAATGTCACAAGTCAACAGACCCTCTGGCAACGAAGTTCCAGGCAGGGTCCTACCACTGCGAACGCATCAATTCTTCTACGGGTGAGCCTTGCAACTCCATCCTTTCCAATCCTCACTCTCTTAGAAGGCATGAAGATGAAATCCACAACCCTTGCAAGCAAAAGATGCGGTACAAAGGAAAAGACCTTTTTTCGCAATGATAGCTTTGCAAAGCATATGCGGCTTTTCCACCCCGAAGTTGATTGGCCAGACAAGCGGAAATGCAAGTCAACATATTCTTGATCAATCAACAAGGCACCTGCTCCAAACTACCACTACATACATATCCCCAAGACTCAACCACCCTAATCCGATCCCAACCACCGAACTTCCGCCCTCTGTCCACTATTACCTGCTCAGGAACTAAGTTATTTAGTGATCTTTCTCATACACCATGCAAATTTTGCTACTTAGAAGGCAACAGTTTGTAGTTACAATAATTGTCCCTATACCAATTTTCCCTAATTCTTGTGTGAATACGATGGATGTATGAAAAGCTCCGTTTTACTTCTTTGCTTTATTCCAATTTCAATTGTGTTAGAGTTGCCCTCCTTGCACGATCCCTTGCCTTTTACCACGATAATTTTACTAGATCAAAGAAAATGATTGATTACTCATCCTTGCTGGAGCCAATAAGAAATAATGCATCCCGGAAAATTAAAAATTCCAGATGCTGGCAGACGGAGAATGGCAGAAAAGGAGTATTTTGAACTCAATAGACGATAGTTTCTTTCCTTGCACTCGTCATCCACCCATCATCCTGTCGCCCCATTACACCCGTTCATCAAAGAGGAGCTGCGGCGTTGGGACACTGGGGTCGAAGCCGTCTGGATGTACTGTGGTGTCCTCGAGGGCGGGCCGAGCTGGGGAAGGAGACCAAAGGCCCGCTCCCACCCACGCAAGCACTTGGCGACACCGACGACAGGAGCAAGACGCACGTAGTCGTAATTGAAGTTGAAAGCGCGTACACATATTAACAAGGTCGGAGGCCGCAATTGTATCTTTCCCAGTAAGACAGAAAGAAACTTTGAAGTTGCTTCTTGAAGTTGGCCAAGATTGTCGACGACACCATCATAGGAAATTGGACGTGTCTATAGGCATGCTCTACCTTTTAAGCACATCATGTACACTGGATGTTTTTGGTCTGGCACATGATAAGTCACCTTGTACGATCAAATCAAACTTCCACCAATCATATTTCTGAGCCCCACCCAAGGACCGTCCTTCAAGTTCGCTAACCAACACAAGCCTTGGCTTCCCCCGGCGCATATCTCAGTATTGTAGTGTTTCCGGGAAAACTGTTTTTGCGATCTAATTGCGGAAAAAGCCACGTGGTCTTGAAATTTATGGAACACTCGGCGATGTCTAGGCGCGCGTTCGTACTGAACTTTGACTCACTCCACATGGACTAACTCCCAACCTTATGGAGCGCAGTATCCACTATCACATCTTTTGTGTTCCATAATATCAGGAACTCAGATCCATGTTTAACTCCAAGCCCAAAGGCTGTTTCCACCAACAATGAAGGAAGTTCATCGACTTGGATTCCCAAACATGCTCTCTTGTCAGATGACATTAGTTGTCATTTAACAGCTTTGGTTACAAAATATGTAGAAAATTGGAAAAGTAGCTCAAATAAACCACTGTACCCGTTAAATATATTAAGTCAAGTGGTGGAAAGATACATATTCAGCTTGTTGGAGGCTATCTATTAGTTAGGGCAGGAGGCTACATATATAATTATCCCCGCCACAACCTTCCGCCAGAGTGATAAGCCACAGGTTGTTGGCATTGAATTTGTCTGTTTATATCACTAAGAGCCTTTCGAGAAAACACAAAAAGCCTTGCTGAGTGTGCACTGTTCCCTTGGCGGGGCCATTGATCCAAGCTGATTTGAAAAACAATAGGTGGTGGCAGATGGCAATGGCGGCGGAGATGGTGATGGAGATGGCGATGGCGATGGCGATGGCGATGGCGATGGCGGCAGAGATGATATCGATCACAGAAGAGTTCTCCACGCTAATAGAATTCTATAGATTTAACATCGAAATTGTGTATTTCTTTTTGTTTTGATTTCTCCCTTATGGAGCAGGGTTATATACCAATTAGTCAAATTCCATATGAAACCTTTCAAACTTAACCTATGCGATGGTCTCCTTTTCAACCACTGCTCATCCGGTTCTAGCAGCTGATTCCGCTTTGCAAGCTAGGACAAAGCAAATTCCCTTCGGCTCCCCCATATATCTTCCATTATACTCGATCAATTCCTTCATAGATACACAAAATCATCCCTTCCATCCCATCATCCGATTAATTCGTTCCCGGTCCAATTCGAACGTGTATATCGCGGTCTCATTCCCCATAGTCCATGTCAATTTCCACTGATTCGCACCGATACGTCGTCTCCACTAGCTCCGCGAACCATGATCGCATATCTAGCTGTACGGGAGAAACCAGCCATAGGCAATTTTCATTGCAACTTGTTCAGTATATTCAACAGGCAGGCTGATGCTTCTGAGGAATTTACCAACAGTCTCATCAGCAGCTTTATCAAGCCTTGTAGAACTATTCTTGAGCATTCGATGGAGTGGCTTGTGGTTGTATTCGTGGTGCATCTCAGCAATAGCAAGAAGTTCCGACTCGGCAATGCATCATTCAGAAATTTCTTTCCAAATAAGCCATTCTGACCATTCGGAATACCCGGGTGATATCAGAAGACAGGGGGTCTTTTCTCAGAACATTTTCCATGGAAAATATCCCATTTTGATCCAGTTTTGAGGCATCAACTATTGAGACCCCTAAATTCTTTTCATCAGCATTCTATATACAAGTATGGTTTGCTGGTGAAATAAAGCATTCACATTCCCTGGCTCAGAAATAGATGAATCAGGCAAGAATCACTGAACAGAGCATTTGATCTTTTCTGAGAACTAGATCGCTCTGATGAATCAAGGCAGAGCATCGCAGAGAGTTCAGGCAAACAACCATTCTGAACGATATCTGAATGAATGTTGGTGTCGCGACCATACTGTGCATCAGCAAGATAACAGAAGATGAAAACATCAGAATTGATAGAGTATGAATTACAATGAGGAAAAGGGATTCTGGATTTAGCAGTGTACATACATATGGGCAGGACTCTCTCCTGTATCACAGACTAAGCACAACCGCTGCTCCACGAAGGGTGAATAGTCCTCTCTCCCACCGAATATAGATAATAACGGTGTGCCATTTCTCGCGGGGTTATGTATCTATCATTGGCGTCGATATGGTACAGTATTCGTTATAGGCACCGGCATCGGGGTCATTAGTTATTTATGGTGGGTAGTGTGGCATGGTATTGGTTATTCTCAATTTGGAGAGCCAATGTCGGGGCGCGTCTCTGCAATATCAAGAATCGTTAAGCACCGGTGACTTCGGAGTTGTATAGACAATATAATACAGAAATTTCTTTCCATATAGGTCATCAATACCTCAGTGTAAGAGGGGTGCAGAGTATTCACCAGTCCACAGGCGAAATATTTGGGGGTATTAATCCCAATACTTTGCGAGTTAAAGAAGCAATATAAAACCTGTAGTGTCTGTATCCTAGCCCCGTGCAGTAACCGGTTCAGGTTCTTCAAGTGATACGTGGGGATTGACGTTTGCTGGTAGAATGAAAGAAAGAGTAATTTAGATTAACCTGACCATCATCGAAGGATCGTTGACGTAGATATATGCCCAGCTCTGTTAGGCCAATTCCTTGTATTCATCGGAAAGAGATGTCAAGTTCACAGATACCCAAATGGGATGACTTTTAAACATCATGTGATGACATTGTTGCAGGGAGGCCATTTTCGAAATCCTCAATTTTGGGTTCAAATATGTGATTAAAGATTTCGGCTTCATCCTTCTTTTTAAGAACATAAAATTGTCTAAGAACACACAACACCACTCATTGCTGATCTGTCCACTTATGTCTTGGGATTTTATTCTTCCAAAATCTAGGAAAGATGGGTATTCCTCAACGCTATCCATATCTAACTTGGAGAGGGATTGAGGCGACTTCTCCACGAAGACAAAGAGAATAGCAGCAGATACGGCGGAAAATTTGCAGGAGGCAATGAGGAAGATTGCAACTGTTCAAAGTCAACACAGAAGCTCGAGAGGTTGAAGGGTTGAGTAAAATGCGGAAAGCTTAAGAGGCTGTCGAATCTTGGCCTTGAATATACAGCCTTGATGAGACTAGAAGAACACAATCCACAAGACAACGCGACAACAACATGAGCGCGTCATTGTGGTGTATCATGTAGTGATGGTATCTGGGCCTGGGGGTGACCTGGCACCGTAAGGGTTTTCGATGCACATTGGGTCTCGTATATCGATGAACATTGTATAGGGAGGAAGACAGTGCAAGAATTAGTGATCAAGCGCTTCAGCTGTTTGATAGCTTCTGGCTTCTCAAAGAAGAGAAGGAGAATAAGACTCGGACCACATTATAAAGAATTTGATCGTACTGCTCCAACTAGGAGCTTATTCTCAATCAGAGAATATAACAACAGTTATCACCTCAACTAGAGGTTGTTGACAATGGGGACTACCTCAACTAGACCTGTTCTTTGCCAACTGTAACCCAATATTGGGTGTTAACAAGAACTCGAGTACCAGTAGGCAGGTCGCTCATTCTCGTTTGAGGATTTCTTTGCAGCAGCTCCTCGAGAGTGGTGTAGACTAGCTCGTCGGCTCCGCATGAAGTGCTGGGCGAGTTTTGCTGTGGATAACACTCGGACATCGTGTCTTGTACCTAACATGTCAGACCAATTTATTAACATAAGAAGGTTGTTGTACAGTTTTCTAACCTTTTGATGTTCGCCTTTGGTATTAAGGAGCTTTGTTTCGCGGGGATTTGACTGGCAAATTTGAGCTTGCAGAATGGCAGGAGGTTGGGTGGATGAAACACAACAATCGAAGAAGGGGGCATTCATCCCCAGGCGCCTTTGATGTGCTGGGCTGCATTAGTGGTAATCTAAATCGATGTTGATGCCACTTGATGTACAGATCTGTACAGATTACAGTGGGGGGAGATAATTATATGTACACTTGCGCTTTTTTGCATCAACCAAGAATATTGCAACACACTATTATTTCAAATATCTCAGCCAATATATTAGATATAGCCCTGACAGTAGAGGATTATATAGAATAGAACATAGAGAGTTAATTATACATGATATCTTCTTTAATATTTAGTTGCACCTCCCTTGGCAGCAATTACTGCCTTCATTCGCCGCGGCATTGACCTCATAAGACTCTGTATCTCCTCCTGTGTAATAGAATCCCATATCTTCTGTAATTCATCCTTCATCTGCTCTGTAGAGTGTATCTTATGTCTTATCTTTGACACACGGCGCTTCATAGTCATCCAGAGATTCTCAATTGGATTTAAATCAGGGAATTGTGCAGGCCATTCTTCACAATTCATCCACACATTCTTTGTCCACTCTTTTACTGCCTTAGAGGTATGATAAGGCGCACCAGCATCTATCCAATATGCAATTCCATGTTTCTCAGAGCTTCTCTCGTAATGGGGATAGCCAAATTCAGATAGAATGCTGGTATAGTGTGAGGAATTCATCCGGACTCCAGGTGGAAGGAAAACCAGCTCTGATTTGAAATCCCAGCCTATAGCAGCCCACACCCCTACTGTCACACGGCCAGATTTGAATGTAGGCAGGAGATATTGACATGGATGGCGTACAAATATGCTTGATACATTCAAGCCAACCTCAAAATTGGACTCATCTGAGAAGCTTGCACAGGCCCAATCTTCTAGATGCCCATTCTCATGATTATAACATAATTTTCGCCGAGTTTGTTTGTGTAGGGGCTTTAGAAAGGGTTTTGGACGAGGCCTGAAAGTATTTCAGTCATTCTTCTTGAAATATGTGGACAGACTTTGACAGTGATTGAAATGAGATGAGAGTATCAAATGGATTTTGACTCACAGTGTGTATTAAAAGGCGTTTATCACGAGCAGAGAGCTTAGAAGGTCTGCCAGGTTTCTTTTTAGAGCTGATTAGAGGGTTTTTTTGATGTGCTTCATGATAGATAATAGAGGAGATAGCTATGACTCTTGTGGGCGCTGCGAGCTAATTAAAGTTCCTTCAAAAATATTTTGTGCCTTGTGGCAAAGGCCAGACCTCGGAGTTTTGTAATGACCATCAATTTTTGTTCCAATGCGTGGTTCTCCTCAGGCTTAAAAGGGATTCTGAGGATTCATACATATGGTATAGAGCAAATCGTTCCCGTGTTGCTAACAAAGTGGAACCGTTTTTTCTCAGACGCTTACCAGGATAATTGCACATCACGGGATCTAACAATCTATTTGGGTTAGTTCATTACCTATTCAAGATTAGTTTGTTTAAGGAGTGATATTAAATTTGGTGTTAAAACAGCAATCATCCTGCGAAGCGGCTGAGCTTGCTGAGATAACTCGGAGAATCGTGTCTATATATCCGCCTGCGCCGCTCAGTTTCATAATCTTTGCAATGGCTCGATGGACACCAAGGAGCCGAGCCGATGGTGGATCAATGGTACGATTGGGACTAAGGGTGAGCGTGCGAGCGGGAATAGCGGATCACGTAGAAAGGGGCTTTGCTCCATTGAATCGATTCTGTACTCATACAGTTTGCTCGTTGGTTCGAAATATATCAAGTTGACAGAACTTTGCAGAAATCCACAAGACTTTGCAGAACAGTGAAGGAATCCACAGACATATATGAGATATTGCAGATAGCAGCAGAACTTTATAAAAATTCGCTAAAATCTACAGAAGATTTAGCAATTTTTACGAGTTTCTACACATGGTGAGGGCCAATTTAAAGGTATGAAAAGATCAAAGACAGTTTCCTTTATTAGTTGAATCTCAATTAAAACAAAAGAAAGAAAGAAAGAAAGAGAAACAACTCATATCACAATGGTGGACAATGACTATTATCCATCCTTTGAACATCTTAGTCGTCGATCACAACTGTATCCGCTTCGCTATCAGGGACTCGAGCTGCACGAAGTGGAAAACCAGGGAGCAGCATCTGCTCGAAAAAACGTTGCGCACCAAACAGGCGAATACCCGTATCACGTCTGACAATTGTCTCTGGTCCACCAGCAACAAAAGGCTTCATCTTAATGGTCTTCTGAAATGCGATACTTCTGTCCAGTGCCTCCAACATATCCTTAAATTCCTTCATGACTCTGAAGTAATCAACTCCACCTGTCTCCTTGCGGCACATGACCTCTGCAACTCGACGAAGATAGAAATCGACAAGGCTATATCCTTCTGGAGGAATCTATTGCTTCATTGTTAGCATATATCATTCAAATTATGAAATACGTTGTATACATACAGCAAAACATTTGAGTCCGCGAAAATGGCAGGTGTCGCAGCTTAGACGACCTGCCGAGACCACGCATTTACGAACAGGACCATACTCCCCAAGACGGAAACAACCAGCACAGATGTCGGCATGGGTTTCTGCGTAAAGTTTCTGGAAGTGGGCCTTCATGGCGAGGAATTCGGTCTCGATGGTATTGTTTTGAGACATTTTGGATAGTTTTAAGGGATCTGCTCTATATTAACAGGTTAGTGTTCATATCATTTCTCATTTATCATCAGAAATAATATAACTGACTACTCTGGTTTGATGATTTTATAATGATTGATGGGGTATATGATCTCTGCAATACTGTTGTGAAGGTTAGAGAAGTAAAGGGAAAAAAAAGAGACAAAGTTGAAGTTATAGTGGGTGATATAAGTGAATAACACATCTAGCCCTAACAATGAAGGCTTTCTCATTCACTGTTGGATGGAAGTATAGAATCTGATTCACTCAGAAGTTGTCAAAAGTTGACAGAAATTAACAGAAGTTTTATCATTATCTATATAACTAGTCACCTGCAGCTGTCATCGATAGAAAAGTTATCTCTTCCTCGAAGCGATTTTGAATACGACCAAACTGAGATGCCGTTTTAAACACAACATTTGCATTCATATCAAGCTCACTCAGTGGTCGTTGTTTACTTGGAGTTTGATTGTCGGCATTGTCACATCTATTTCGTTTCATTGAAGCAAATGACATCACTAAAAGGTGAAGTGAATGTTAGAAGGTGAATAACTATCTACGGCAGTCTATAGTGACAAATACTATCAGTGATGATGATCTCATTACCTAGTGACTATTTACTCTTACTTCTTTTCTCTCCCTTTCTTTCTCTCTTCTTCTCTTTCCCAACTATCTCAACTGGCCTCAGATGGCTCCTTTGTGGCATCTGCGATAGTTAAGGTAGAGGTCTTCCGGCAGACCTCCCTGGCCAGCGGTATTGCTACTGCCAGCTTCATTTCCCCCGAGAGAAACTGCGGGCAAGCAGTTGCTACCGCCAGCCTCATGCTGGCGGGCCCGGCCGCCCCCCCTCCCCCCCCTCCCCTGACAATTTATGATGATGCATGGGGGGACAGTTCTCAACGGGGAAAAACAAATCCAGCACAACTTGTTGGTGATTCAACCTGAAAGGCACAGGGGAAGTGTGTTTCTTTCCCGCACCTTGGGGCAGAAATTGCCAAAAAGTTTGTGCTAGCCGGAATCGGATCTCTCAGCATCCTATATGATGCAGTTGTCAAACAGGAAGGTATTGATTCTCAATTTTTCCTATCAGATGAACATATCAACCGAAATGTTGGTTTTATTGCTCCATTGAATGCCTCATGAATAGAAATTTTGAGCTAATATGTATGCTTAGCGAGCAGAAGCTTTGCATCGTATGGTGTTACTATTGCAACATATTATGAATGTTTAAAGGTACGAACGTCATTGAGAAGATCTGTTAAAAAGCAGCATTGTTCGGATTGCCATGGTCTTTACAGCTCTCATCTAACATATCGTGACTAATCAGAGGAGGAATGATAGCTCCCTGCAAGAGAAGCAGCAGCGAATTGATAGGCCGAGTTGCAACAACCAGTGGCGATGAGAGCGGTCCACTCCCAGCAAACATAAAGCGGACACAGCGGAGCCTGTCGGGAGGCATATATGCCTCCCCTTGGGTTAGTCTCAAGACTTATTCCACCGAATTCTTTTTGACAGATTTAAGGTACGTATTTAGCTATCAGCGGTGGTTATTCATTGATCAAAATTGCTGACATTACACAGGCTGCTGGAGACAGTCAAACACTGTCCGTGAGGTCCTTGATGGCTTCTACCTTACCTACGTCCAACCCACCTCCGCGAGGACGCGTCCAACAACTCCAATTCTACGACATCGACACAACTTTACCTTCCATCCTTGAAAAATTCATGGACCCCACCACCGGCCAGCAGTTTCAACAGCCAGTTTCATGCGAGGAAATAACTGAAGGTAATGGCCGCGGGAAACATTGCCAATACTGATGTGAAGGAGATCATTCTTAATACTATTTCTAATGGAATCGACATGGATCCGATAGAGCTACCCATAAGACACCACAATCAGCATAACATTGTAGCGATGGCGAAAACACACTTGTCAAGGGTTGAAGACAACTCTCCATTTATCTCAACATTTTCAACCCTACTTCCTTGTGTACACAGAATGCTAAAAAGTGAGAAGTCAAGTATCTCAATAATTGATGCCACCAGGCTGGATCAAAATGGGACATTTTCTGCAGAAAATATTCTGAGAAACGACCCTCTGTCTTCTGATATCGGGGTATTGTGGATGGTCAGAATGGCTTATTTGGAAAGATGTTTCTGAATCATGGGTGACGTCGAGGAATGCCCATCTTTCCTAGATTTTGGAAGGATTAAAACCCCAAGACATAAGTGGACAGATATTGGACTAACGGATTATTCTATACTTCCCGATCTTAAAAGCAATGCAGTTCGCTATACAAAAAGTGGGCAATAAAGCCGTACGGACATATCGAGAATTCGTTCAAGCGGCAGTTGAGGTCATGGGAAGTGCAAAAAGACAGGCAGTGGCTATTCGTGACAACAGGCGGCGAAAACCCTTCGCCGCCTAAACCCTAGTGAGCGCCATATCCTGAAAGCTCGGAGGCTAGGTATGGGCAAGAAAAACAAGGCTCTTCATCTCTACAAGTTACACTTGATGAATATGAAGATATCACACCTCCTCGCCCACCTCGCGATATGCCACCCTCGGTGATAATTAATTCCTATTGACTTCCTAAAGAAAAAGTTCCTACCAAAACATTATGCACTGCCCAAAAAGATCGTGTTGTGAAAGGCACAAGGATAGAGAAGGGAATGCTTCATGACAAAGCCAAATCAAAAGCCAAGACCCCCTCTCAGAAGCTCGCTCAACTTACTCAAAAGGATGTTAACAAAGTCACCATGCCACGCGCTCCAAGGCGCGGAGAATTAATTAAGGGAGCTTGGCCAAATGCCATACCGCCAAATGAAGCTGTTCTACGGGCATATCATGAATCTTTTCGGGAATTGAGGAATAAACCTATGGAAGTGGTATCAGAGACAGCAAAACCTTCAGGACCCCCGAAAGGATATCACAGAGTATATTTTCCAGGGGAAGAAAATCAGCCCCCTCTTCCTCCACTTCCTTCGACTTCTGTTCCTCCATCTAGCCCACCCTCTCTTCCTTCGCAGACAGAAAGACCCAATCTAGCTGGAGAACCCACTTCTCAACCTGAAGCATCTGTTGAGACTGAAAGAGCCTGAGCCACCTAAAGAAGCACTCCCTCCTTCCTCTCCCGAATACGAAGGGTTTCTGACCAGCCCGCAACAACGGCGACGCGAAGCCAAAGAAGTCCACTGGCTCCAGTCTGAATCTCCAATGGGACAGCCAATTTCTTCAATGCAGGCCTACGATCCTCTATCTCATGTCACCTCATTTCAACCACACGAACCTGCCAAAGCAGAGGCATTTGGGTTTCTGTGGGTTGGCTTTTGTTCTTAACATCTCTTTCTGAAGATGGATAGGAATGCTGTTGGATCATTGAGCTAGGCATATATCTACATCAACGATTTTTCAATGCTGGCCAGGGTAACCAAAATTACTCTTTGTTGCATTCTACTACCAGGCCTCCAATGTGCTTGCCTATGTGCTGTAATGAATTTCTTTCCATTTTCTCCTTCTGTGGTTCCTATGCTGCGGCTGGCGGTTGCAGTGTATAGGTGGTGGGTTGGATGGCCCTGCCTGCTGTGGGCCGAGCCACACCACCACGCCCACGGGTATATGGTGAGTGAGATCTCCATTTTGTCTTTCTTTCTCTCTCTTTCTTCTTTTCTTTTCTTTCTTTCTTCTTCTCATTTTTTTGGTGATGTGTGTCAACTCTTCGACCTTTCCCACTGCTATCTAATATTTGTGCCAACAATAGCCGGAACTTGTTACAGCCACACCTCGGATCGTGGAAAATCGATGAACGGCCAAAAACCTGGTATCTGCATATCAGTCTGATCTGGCGACCATTCAGCAGTTTCAACAACCAATTTCATGCGAGGAAATAATTCCTCCAGGCTGGACCAAAATGGGATATTTTCTGTCTATTGTTTGATCAATTCTGGCAGTAGCTCGATTCTGATTTTCCTCCATCTCCACTCACGATCTGCACCTGTCTCTCTTCCTCCCTTTGACTCTCAATTTCTGTTTCTTGACTTTCTTCTGTTTTTGTTTCAGCCTTTCAGCTTCCGCTTCCGCCTGTGCTGCTTTCATTTTCTGGTATTCCTGGTAGTAGTACAGATTGTAGATTTGACTGGAGTCGATATAGCTTGGCGTAGCCGGCCGATATTCTGCGGTAGAATTTATGTAGGAGGGATTTGACGAGGTATTTTGGGCATCACGGCAGGGTGATGTCGAGAGGTGTTGACAATATTCTGTTGCACGGTGCTCTTGTTGAACGATCAGAACATCGGTGTGGCTAACATGGACGAAGAATGCTTGGGGCGAGCGTGGGATAAGGAGGGTTGGCTCCGAGATATGTTTGACTGAGCTAATGGTGTTGATGTTCTAGACAGCGGAGAAATGTTTGGTTGATGAAACAGCTGGCTCAGGTGGGATGAAGGTGAGGACTATGGGACTCAGAGATTCTAAATTGAAGTGAGAAGGTCCATGGCTTGAATTATATAAGAATGTGATGTTGAGAACGAGCCAGCAAGTCCAGTCATCTGGGAATTGGCACGAGGAGTGGTAATGCTGGAAGAGAGAGTAGTTTGTTCGAGGAATAGAGAAAACTGTAAGAATCAGGAGGACAACAAAATGGCACCACAATGTTCTGAGAGCCGCAGCACTTGATTGGATGCTTGGTTGAAGCTTGGCCCAAGCGTTGACATGACACATGCCTTACGGCATAGATGTTGGCGTGGGCTTGCATGCACTCCCATGAAAAAGCAATTTTTGCAGTTTTGCAAGCTATCAGGCGATTTTGTCATACTCTACGCGGTCCGAACCAGAGCGGCGCCAAGCTGTGATTTGATTGCCTGACGTGCCCATGTTTATAGGCACGAACACACCAAGCCATATTCCCATTAAAACTCGCTTATTGGCGTCCATACGGACGCCAAGACGTGGTGTCCCCGACAATGTCGTGGTGACGAAAGAAGTGTGATAAGATAGCACTATGACCACTAGGTTATCCATAGCAAAAGCCAACGTAACCATTTGTTAAATGGTTGCGCTCATAGTTCATTTCCAGTCCACTTAGTAACTTGGCGAATTTGCTCAGGTCCTTGGATTTGAGTTGTTTCATATTCTCCAACATTGATTTCATTTCCAAGTTTTCAATCTTCACTAGACCGTCCTTCACATAGGGTTTGGGCCACTGTTGAAAGGGTCTGACTCCGACTCTTGCTAGGTGGAACAGTGGGCGTGAGCTCTGCTTGAGAGGCACTCACCGGCACCCCGACAAGCTGAGGAGGGGAAAGGTTTATCTGCAATTTCTGCTGATGATGTTGGTGTTTCATGGTGCTTCCAGGTTCTTGCTGTCGTGAATTGGTGGCGTTAGGAACTTGTACCCTAGTTCTTGGACTGGGTTTCCGACTTTGTTTATGTGTATTCAAAGGGGATGAATTAGTGTGAGGCTTTCAGATTGTGTTCTCTCTGCATGTGGGCAGCAAAGTCACTGCACTGTGGAAAATAATCTGAGTGCGCATGGTATGAACCAATCCAAACCCCCAACAGGTTGATGTGGGTTGGTTGTGTAAGGTAACTTACTAACGGATCCCCCCCCCGGGCGTGATTTGCAGGTGTCAAGAGCAGCAGTATCCTTCATTCCGGATGCAGAAGGAAGCGGTTCAGCGCGCCATTGAACATGAGACATGTTGCATGGGAAGGCTCTCATGTGGGATGTAGTTGTATGATGGTTAATCTGCTATTGTTGTGGTCGGAGCTAGCTAAATAGGCGTTGGAGGCCCTACACAAGCCTCATCCCATGTGACCTTATCTCAGCATGCTCAGCCTCTCTTCTCGATATTTTCAGATTAGCGCGATCAACTAAACTCCTTTAGACTTCTGCCAAGTCCTGCTAACTTCTGGACCAATCAATTACTCCACACGTGCTCACAACATAATATCTCGTAGAGAGTCTGAGAAGAAACGGTTCCATCGTCTGTGGAAAATCAAACCCGCTCATACAAAATATTCAGTTGACTTCGGAATCATACATCTACCTTAAATATCTGCCTGATCATCATCAAATCGACATTTTTTGAATCCTTAGCCATCTCACTATCATCTCTGCTATTTTGCAACTTGCTACCCCTTCTCATCATGCCACAACCATTGACCAAAGACACCGTGTCTTTTGAATCTCAAGACACCCAACATCAGGCGCGGTCCAACCAATATCCTTCGTCACTTGAAGATGAATCCTCTCAACAACCACTACACTCCCTCAATGATCTAGATGATGGATATGAGACATCAGATAGTGATTTAACAGACCTTGAATCTATTGATACTCCTTCGGAATTCGAGACCACTGGTATCAATACCCCGCCAGCTTGTTCACAACCAAACACCCGTGGTCCACAGCGCCTGCCTACTATGCCTCATAACCAGCAGAAAAAACGTTCGAAATTATCTCGTGTTGTCAAAGCATTACAGCGAAATGGTTGGGGAATGGAAGCCTTTATAGATGCTTGGATTCAGAGTCCTGATATCTTGACTCATAAACGATACCGTACTCCTGCAAAGCGGCGGAATGCACTATATTCAGCACTCTCAAAGTCAGAAGCATTTCATGGTCATCACCATTATATTGCCTTGCTTAAACAGGAGCTGAAACACCTTATCAATACTCCATACTTTGCAAAATTCAATCATGGTGTTGATCTTGATACCATCGATTTCCAGGCCGCTTTTGAGACCATCCGGACCGATGCACCAACCTGGTTTAAGCTGCTTACTCCTGTTCTAAAGAATAAACGTGCAAATCGAAAGAGTTATGAATGGGGCTCAGATGAAACAACAGCTATCAAACGGCTGTTTGTTATTATGAGTATTATATGCCACTCTTATTCTTTGAAGAACTCAAACTTCTTCAGCTCTATTCTCTCTGCATATTTCCATGGCTCAGGAGTAAAACGACGAGTGATAGAAACGATTTCCAGCTTTGGACTCTGTCTCAGCTATGTGATGGGAAATAAATTGATGACAGAAATTGCTAAACAGGAGAAGGTATGAGTTGATATTCTTAACTTATTAATATTTCTATCTAATTTTTTAAACTTCTAGTAAAAACTGATAATCTCTGTTCTTTTCTGGCATGTTCTTTCTACTTCTGTTAACTTCTGAGCCAATCATTTGACTAATTCTTATCATTAGATGAAACTTCGGCAGCTTGTCAAAGATCCTCGAGCCGTTATAGTCTACGACAATATGAACTTCAAAGAGACTGTACGAGATGAAACGATTGGGCATAATGATTACATGGCTGCAGTGACTACTGCTGCTGTGGTTATTTCCCCTGCAATTCCAGAATCTGGTCTGACTCAGATCATGCATGATTCTACAAGACTTCTAACGCTGAAAGAGATCATTGATGCACCTGGTGTGGCAGGCAATGATTATGGACTTCGAAAGAAAATAACATTGTGTCTTATTTCTGATGCTGTTCGAAAGGTTCATGATGAGGGAGTTAAAAAGGTTTTCAGTACTGCAGATGCTTTACTACCTCAAATGCCTGTTCTTGATACACTTCCTGTGTATAGAACGCGTTTTCAACAGCTGGGAGCTATTTTTGAAAATGAGGGCACTATTGCGGGAACTATGAGAGTTCATGAGAAGATATTTAATAGTTATCTTGATTTATCAAAAGATCATACAGCATTTTCAACTCGTCTTTTTCCAGTGTATGGAGATGCCTTGACTACAAAGCTCATTCGATCGGTTAAGATAGAGCAGTCAAAATCTACAGACATATTTGAACAGCGCAACTGGCTTCATCCTGTTTCTGGATGGTTTCATATTCAAATGAATCTACTCTCCACCATTGTCCGTACCCACTTTGAAGCAGGGGTCTCTGAAGAGGCTCGTCACTGTATTCAGTCCGATCTTGCTTGTTGGAACCGAAATTCTATGACTTCCACCAATCCCAAATATCATCTTCTTGAACCGATGATTTCTCAGAGCTTTGCATCCCGAAGTCTGGCGCTATTTTATGCTGCCATGCAGCATCGAGGTTATCCGATTGTCAACCATGAGCACTCAGAAGATATCGATACTATTATACATCAGCTTAATCCTTCACAGTATCTTCAGCTTATTGAAGATGTATACACCAAAGCATTTACTCTTGATGCCTGGACAGGAACTGACTCTCAAACCTCTCAATCCACTCAAGATATTGAATTCCGTACAATGTGTCGCCTTCTCCGAGAATCCGAGTTATTCATTCGGATATGCTATGCTGTTAAATATGGTGACATTGGACTTCTTGAGTACTCTATTCCATCTCTGATTATCTTTTTTCTTGGTGCTGGTCAACATAATTATGCCACTGAGATGCTTCACTACTACTGGATACTTCAATCTGCCAAATCCCCCTCTCTGCGTCGAGCGATTATGGCCTCAGGTCTTGTCAACTGGCCTGGAAAACCTGGCTCCTTCAAAGCGATTGATTTAGGCATGGAGCATCTTAATGGTAGCTGCAAGCTGGAGATGAAATGTTACAAAAATTCAACAAAGAATACCTATCTTATATTTGATCGAGTCTGTCTGTCCAATACATGGGTTCATCAGCTACGGCGGATCTTAGAGTCTACCTTTGGACGTCCACTTACTGGAGAACATACAAGTGCTGTCACTAAGCTAGAGATCTTCTCTATGGCTAGAAGTCTGTTGAAGGATGGTTATACCTCACCTCGAGATTTGCTTTTACTGCCAAAAAAACGTATGTTTGACTCCTTGGATATACTTACAATTGGAGTGGAAAATTTGGAGAAGAAGATTGAGCACTTTAACCAAGCATGGGTTCAGCAGCGATCAGTATCAATGAATTTGAATTTTGATGATATAATTATCAGTGCTGAAGTTGAGGCTTATTCTGAGGAATTCAATGATAATAGAGAGCAAGAATCTATTTTCATTGAAAATACACTATCTTTATCTACTGTAAATAATTCACCAGATATATCAGAACCAATTTTGGAGGAAAATAATTAAAATAGATGAATGAATCATTAGATAGTTTTACATCTTTATTTGATATAACTAAGTTTAGTTAACTAACGTACTTCACCACTTTTTGGGACACACCACTTCCTGGGACACTAAATCACATGATATAAAACTCTGCCTTAGGGTACCTATTCCAGACTAGTGCACTTGCACTAGAGATCAATTTTGAGATGTTTAGATGTTACACACAGACTTGATATGACTGGAGTAAATAGAAATAATATATATCTACTCTTTCATATTTAGAAGTATTATATAGTCAGACAGCTTCTCATTGACTGAGTTCACAATTTTGAACAACTAAAGCTGCTAAAGTAAGTTGATTTATATTCATTATTATTAAATACTATATCAAGCAGCTATAATCTATGAGAGTGTGAGGTTGAAGTTGTATTCTTTTCATTGGTGTATTCAAACTATACTATATCATGTGATTTAGTGTCCCAGGAAGTGGTGTGTCCCAAAAAGTGGTGAAGTACGTTATATGTTACATTTTTGCTGATCAATATATTAGTAATTGAACTTCTGCATTGTTCTGTCAACTTGTGAGCCAATCAAATATCAAGGTTCAAAACCAACATGACTAACATCTGACAAATTTTTTTTTTGGAGATAGCATTTCTCAACATCAACTAATTTACATTTACAACTGATACTTGCGAAGAATGCCCGCATAGAACCTCTAACACGTTCATCTATACAGATTACTTGTTTATTAGAGTCCTACTTGAAACTTTCTTCACGAAGCAGAGCAGTACAAACAAAACAGGAATCTAAACAGTCAGAGCACTGCTTCCCGGCGGAGGAGGAGGTGGCCCCTTCGGCAGCAACTGATGTGGCCGCGACGGTGGGGATGTGCGGGGGTCCTTGGGCTTGCGTTTGGAGATGCTACATCCGCCTTTGCGTGCAGCAACCCGGCAGCGAGAACAAGAATCCCCGGGCTTGGCTATCTGGGCTCTCCCCTTCTCGGAGTACGCCCAACATTCCTCACCGTTCTCTTGACAGGCAGCACACCTGTCCTCCCCCAGCAGCTGCTCACCCAGCTCCGTCTCCATTATCCGGCCAATATGGCCCCATACCCTCTGCTTCTGAGGAGAGAAGCACTGGAACTCCTCATGGGAGACCGACCACCATTTCCCTGATTCCTGGGGCTGGTAGGTTGATGAGCTTTTGCTCATCAACCAAATTCCAACCCCGTCTTGGCTGGCTTGCCAGCTGTGCCTGCTCCAACAGACACGCTGGCGATGAGTGTTGGGGGGAGGGGGCGCATATG